GTTCGTTTTTTAGACACAGACCGCCGGTGGAACAAATTATAAAACGTAGGCGACCTCAGAGGGATATATGGACGGAAAGTGATGAGTTAATTGAAGTACTGAACTCCAATATATTGTTCATTTTAATTCAGTTTACTGAGGGCAATAGGCGTAAGCCTTCGACCACCCTATTTACAACGTAAAACTGGGTGCCGTATACAGAGAAATTATGTGGTCTGTAATAGTTCTAACTAGTCCATGATGGTTTGACAAAATGGGAGTGAATCTCAAGGGATGTACTTGATATCTCATCGCTCTTGGTCATTTAGTAACGAAAATATATCAAGGTTCCTTTTAAAACTCTGTATCGATACACTACAACATCTGCAGGGCGAGCATTCCATGGTTAGACTGCTCGGACAGGAAGGAGAACTTCCACACATCCAGGCTTACCTGCTGAGTGCACAGTTTTAACGGGTGACCTCGGAGGTTGTTTGTGGCAGCAAATTCAAAAAGTCCTCAAAGGCAGGCTACAGTCCAACCCTTTCACTATGCGGAATGCTTGCAGGAGATCCCGCAAAGTTGCCTATAACTCAAAGAGACTTGGATTTACTCAGAGGGTAGCCCGCGGTCTCCAGGTTTGTATGCCGTACTTCAAGTGCGGCCGCACGAATGTCCCAAATGAATTTGAAGAAGCATCTTCGCCCAAATCCACAAACGCATGCTTGATGGCGTGCAGTAAGGACATTGCGCACTTTGCCACTCTCGAACTATAAGCAGATGGTTTCAGGGAGTTCGTCGTTAGCACACCGAGGTCCTTTCGGGCTTCCAGGTCACGTAAGGCTGCACGGCCCAGAAAGAAGTCTCTTGCGCTGGCGGATCTGGCTGTGTTTTCTAGGCGAAGTATGCTAAACTTATGAACGCAGTAGTGAATGGTCTGATCACTCTTCCAACCGACTTGGATTCATCTGCAGTCTGTCTTCGTCCGCAGGGCCCCGAAATGCATTCTCTGTCTTCGTGTCATCTGCAAAAAATGCTACTTGGCTGTCCAAAACTCTTGCGCAATCGTCCACATATATTAGAAAAAAAATGGATCCCAGTAGTGACCCGTGGGGAACACCACTCTCGACCACAGCAGGACCTGATTTTCCTTGACCGATGCACACAACCTGCTGTCGACCCACAAGGAAGTTGTCGTTCCATTTGAGGAAGTTGCGTCTGATCCCTACTGTTTTCAATTTCTGTAACTGTCTCTGGTATGGCACAGTGTTGGACGCCTTCTGGAAATCACTGAAAGCTATATGGAGCGCGTTCCCATTGTCGAGAGCTCGGGTCCAGCTCTGGAGAGATTGCAGAAAGTTTGTTGTGCAAGATATTCCTTCCCGGAACCCATGTTGGCAGTAAAATAGCAAGTCGTGAACTTCCAGGAATAGCATCAGTTGCCTCTTCATGGTCCTCTCAATAACTTTGCTGAGAATGCATATCAAGCTTGGGCCTGTAGTTTGTCGTTCTTGTCCTGCTACCTCCTTTGTATAGCGGAGCAATATGCGCCGTATTCCAATCGATAGGAAGTGTTCCAATGTCAAATTACGTTTGAAATAGCATCGACAAAGGCACAGAAAACTCACAAGCAAGTTTTTTGAGAAGCTCTGGTAGAATCTCTTTTGGTCCTGGCGAATTCGATTCGTTAAATGCCTCTAATTCCCTTCGGACAATGCCTTCTGAGAAGAGTGTATTACTTATGCTTGGGGTCGGCAGTTCTTCTGTTGATTGAGGAAGGAACCTTGCCTCGTTTGTATCGACTGATTGGAAATTCTGAAAAATATGCAGCTTTGTCCCTGCTGTCAGCGATCTCGACGCCTCCGTTAGTCCTTATTACGAGGATTTGGAGTCTGTTCCTTGTAATTCTACCGAGGTAGTAGTAGAGTAATTTTGGGTTCTGTGTCGCTTTTCGCAGCAAATTTTTCTCAAATTCACGGCGCGTCTTTATATGCATTCTTCTCGGTTTGTTTTTTCGTGTCGTGTGTGAGTTAAAATACTCTGCTTACCCAACGACGCTGTATTTCCCCATACTTTGTGATTCCAGTTAATTTCCTTCTTTAAGCAGCTATTTAGCCGCCCAGGCCGCTTGTTCTGTCTTGCTCTGGTCAGTGGGCAATGGCTGTTGATGAGCTGCAGAAGGATATCCTTGAGCAACTTCCAGTCATCGTTGGCATTACCCATAGACGTTGAGCTCCAGTCAGGACCGAATAAGTCTGCCCTCATCTCACTTAGGTCGTCCCGCCAAACATTGCATACTACTTGATCTGGAGTACGCAAAATTGAAAATAAAGAATAATCGCATATAAGCCGTACATGGTCAGTTCGGCCAAGGGGCGGCATGGGGATGACCTCGCCTATGCTGTCTGATGATTTCGTAAAGACTTAATCAAGGCAGTTGTCCATATGTCCTTCACGTTTGCTCGTTGGAAACATTACATGTTGTATGAGGAGCGCCTTTCATGCTTTGTCCAGCGGACGGTTATCAAATGTCGATTTGGGCCTAACGCTTGGAGAGTGTTCCAGTTAATTTCCGGTGCGTTGAACCCGCCATGATCATGATTTTAGGTCGACTGGAAAATTTCTCCAACTGCTCCAAAAGATGAATTTCGGCGATTTGGTCTGTCACGGGTGGTTGGTAGACATTGGGGACACCGAGACACGGGGAACCGGTAGCCTTGATGGTTAACCAAATAGCTTTCGTGCTGCACGCAAACTTAGTGGTATTTTCCGGCACTGACAGGTCTTCTGTCACATACACAAAATACCACCACCCCGACGATGTTCCCTGTCCCTCCAATCATTTTGGTATGCAGTCAAGGCTATTTTACTATCGCTAATATTTCCGGACAGCCAGGTTTCGGTTTCTAATAAAACATCTGGCGACAGTTCGACAAGGCAAAGTTTTAGCTCGTCTAGTTTCGAAACAAGGCTTTGGGCATTTGTTTACAAGCACCTAAATGTTGCACCGACCGAATTTCCGGCTGCATTTGTCATTGTTGTGGGCATTACTTCGTTATCACGGACTCCATTTTCTCTGGGCTCTTCGGTTACTTATGAGTTCCATGAATGCCCGTTGCTTCAGTCAGAAGACTGGACATTAAGGGCTTACTTTTGTTGTCGTCTCTAGCGGCTGGTTCCACAGGGGCGTCTGTGTTAGCTGAGTAGCTGCCGTCGTTCTCAGTATTACTGGCTAATTGCACTGAAATGGCACATTTTTCCGAACTACTTTCCCTTTGATAATAGCCAGGCTGTGTTCGCCAACCTTCAGTCTCGATTTTGACTCCAAGGCAAGTTCCCAACGTTTCAGTCGTTCCGCTAATTAGTAGACCGGTTGAGAAAACCTGTTTTGTGTGTTTCTGAAGTTGGTTTTTTGAGGAGGATCAACTTGATTTGCCCTTTGTTCTCCAGCATAATTTTGAGAAGACGAGGTGGTAGTGTGGCGGCCAATGATGTGAGATCAACTTAAACCACACATAATAAGTTCATTTCGTCTAATATCAGAAGTCAGGGAGCTGGGGTAGTGTTCTATTTTATAACAGGGCAGGTTGCCGTAAGTTGGCTGTTTGCTTGCGACGGAGATATGCGTCCATTCACGGAGAGTGTCAGTCGCGGTGTGTTGTTTACGCGGGATTGAGTCTGGGTCATCAGGAGGGGGTGACTGGTTGAGTGTTGGTCGTGTGGTTGGACAAATTAGGGAAGGAATAGGGGGCGCATGCTCACAAGGCCTCACGGATATCAAGCCAGAGCGTTAGACGCGCGTGAGGTGATGAAACCTTGTAGCTGGACCGGAGGTGTTCCAGTCCTAACCGGCGTGGATGGCCGTGTGTAAAAAGCTGTCGCGACCATTGTTCAAAAAAAACAGAGCCGGAGAAAAGGGGAACTGGAGCGGCTGTTAAAACTCCCCCTCAGACACCAAACGAAGTGAAGGCTTCGACATGCTAGCATGCCACAAACCTGTCGGGCCAGTGGACGTGGCGACCAGATCGTGTACGGCGAACCGGAGGCGGCCGTCGCCATTAGGTGGAGGAGGCCTCACTGTCTTCGGCGGGGTACGGTGTTGGGGTGAGGAATGGTCACTGTCGTCGATGTAGGCCGGCTTGACGCGATCAATGCTGACTGTGTCGGTCTTGCCGTTACGATCGATGATAACATCAAACCAAAGAAAGGCTTTATAGGCCCGTAATAGGGCGGTTGTAGTGGCCGCCGGACAGCGTCATGCCGAACCCAGACGAAATCGCACGTATCCAGGTCGCGATGAAGAAAGGATTGGTCGGTGACGTCCAAGGGGAGTGTTGCGCGGAGATTGAGCATGACACTACGCGGCTGCTCCATATAACTGCAAGGTTCAAAAAATGGTAGAGTGTTTGAAGGAGATACTAACTCACCGGGCAGTCGTTCGGCGTTCCCGTAGACAAGATCAACTGCAGTGCAACCGATGTCGGCCTTGAGAGTGAAACGGAGGGACAACAGCACCAGGGGAAGGTGATCAGACCATCTGGAAGGATCGGGCTGGGCCATAAGGAAGGTCTTGAGCTGTCGATGGAAGCGTTCGACAAGACCATTTGCCGTTGTTTGAATTCGTTTTGATCTGAGAAGGGATATGAGCTCACGAAACAGCGTTGACTTGAATTGGGATCCGCGGTCAGTGGTGACAGTCGCCGTAATCCCAAAATTTGACAAAGGAGTCAGGACAGCTTGTGCTACGGTTTCGGCACTGATGTCCGGAATGAGCGCAGCAACCGGTCACTGAGTAAAGTGGTCATTATATGTCAGCATATAGGCAGAACCGTTAAATGGTGGAAGCGGACATACCAGGTCAATGTGCACGTGACTGAAACGTGCATCTGGAGTGGCGAAAGTACCTGGCGGAGTAATAGTATGCCGATGCGTTTTTGCGCGCTGACATGGTAGACAGGATCGGGTCCAACGTCGTACATCCCAGTTGATGTTGGGCCAGACGAATCGGTCTGTGATAAGTTTCACTGTCGCCCGGACTCCAGGGTGGGATAGATTGTGAGGAGCGTTAAACACGTGTCGTCGTAAAGTTGTTGGAACAAATGGACGTGTGTGCCCGGTAAATGGTCGCACGTTATGGTACCAGTGCCAGCAGGAAGGGGGAAAACGTTAAGACGTAAAGAAGAGTCCTCATTATGGTATTGGGAGAGTTCGCCATCCGATCGTTGAACCTCAGCCATGAGCGTGAAGTCTATGGCGTCTGTTGTGATGGAAGCCATCTCAATTCTTAATAAAGCATCAGCAACCACATTTTCCTTACCACAGACATGTTGGATGTCGCAGGAAAACTGTGACATGAAATCTAGATGAAGAATTTCACGGGACGAATATCGATCGGGAAACGCCCTCAGTGCAAAAACGGGTGGCTTGTGATCTGTTAGAACAACAAATTCAAGACCCTCGAGGAAATGTCGAAAGTGCCGGATGGATAAGTAGACGGCGCGGAGTTCTCGGTCGAAGACACTGTGGCGGGTCTCTGTTGGGCTGAGCTTTTTCGAGAAGGATGCCAGAGGCTGTAGAACACCACTAGCAGCTTGATGAAGTGATTCACCAACGGCAGTGCTGAAAGCATCTGTCATGAGAGTTAGATGAGCATCTGAGCGGGGGTGGTCAAGCAGTGTTATGTTCGCAAGTGCGGCCTTGACGTCATTGAAGGACCTGACGGCCTCCTTGGTCATCACCAGTGTCTTCTTGGAGAGGGTCAACAGACTGTTGAGTGGCTGCAATATGGTGGCACCATGGGGAAGAAAACGGTGACAGTAGTTCACCATCCCCAAGAGGCGGCATAGTTGGTTGATGGTTGTCGGGACGCGGAACGTCGAGTTGGCCGAAACCTTTTCTGGGACGGGCTTTTTCCCATCTGAGTTCACTTCGGGACTCAGAAAACTTAGACTGGGAACTCCAAAATCACATTTAGCAGCGTCGATTACAACGCCGAAGGAGTCGAGTCGTTCGAAGAGTTGTCGAAGATGAACCTCGTGTTCAGCAATGTCAGAACTAGCCATCAGCAAATCATCAATGTAGACAAGGTCGAGACCTCGCAATACCTGATCATTGAACTTCTGAAAGGTTTGAGTGGCGCTCCTCAGACCAGAGGGCATACGAGTGAATTCGAATAACCCAAAGGGAGTGGTCACTACAGTTTTCAGCACATCACTGGCCTCGATTAGGCTTTGTTGGTAGGCACGAACAAGGCCAATCTTGGAGAATATCCGCTTACCATGCAGCGAAAGAGTGAAGTCCGGGATGTGCGGGACGGGGTACTGGTCGGGAACAATCACTAAGTTCAATGCCCGATAGTCACCACACTGTTGCCAGTCGCCGCTCTTCTTTGGGGCAAGATGGAGGGGTGATGCCCAGCAGCTGTCGGACTGTCGGATGATGTCGAGCTCAAGCATGTATTCGAACTCTGCCTTGGTCATCTTCAAACGGTCCGGAGCAAGACGACGTGGTCGGCAAGACTTGGGAGGTCCAGTGGTTGAAATGTGGTGGTTGACTGTGTGTTTGATGTCCACTTCACGAAATGAGGTGTTGGTCGGGCGAGGGAACTGCCTGAGAAGTGAGTGGAAAGGACAGTCAGAGATGGGCATAACAGTGAGAGAGTTGATGCGGGGGTTCACATCGGATTGACAACGGGCATGAAGGTTGGTGATGCAGTCGACGAGTCGGCGATTCCACAAATCTACTAGTAGATTGAAGTGAGCTAGAAAATCAGCACCTATGAGGGCGACGGAAACGTCGGCAATAATGAAAACCATCGGGAAATCCGACGAAGGCCCAAATCATGTGTGATGGAGCGCTGTCCAAAGGTGGGATGCTGGAGTTGTTGGCAGTTGTAAGACAAAAAGAGCTGCGGTTTTGAGTTCGGCCGGAGTTTATGGAACCAAGCTAACCTCGGCACCAGAGTCGACTAGGAATTTGGCGCCAGCGATACGGTCCCAGAGAATCAAACGGCGAGTGTGGAGATTGACAACGCTTCCAGAAGCAGTGGCCTCTACTGTCGGGTGGGATCGTCTCCCTAAGGCCGTTAGAGATGACTTGAAAGAGCATGGCTGAAGACCAGGACCGGCATTATGCATGAAGGAAAGTGTATTGACATGGCCTTGCCTCCAAGGATTAGCGCTCGCTCTCTTTATAGTTGCAGGCAGGGGAACGCAATGCGCGCTAAAAGCGTAATGACAAAAAAATCTGTTAGTTACGGGGACGAACCGTGCTCTGGGTACTCCTATATTCTGCTGAAATTCCGATAACTCGAAAAACAGCTGGTTGCTTTAAGGGAACTCGTGCAAGTGAACGATGGTGGGCAAAACACGGTTAACAACGTCAGAGTTAGCAAGACAATGGGAAAGAGCGAAACTCCAAAGCAGCCGAAGAACAAAGTTAGTGGAAAACCTCAGTACAAGGAGGCCGATACTCTTGACTATGTGCAAATAGCAACGGAGTCTCTTGTTTCTATGGAAGACAACCGAAGCGAACCATCAACTTTTCTCAGCCATTCCGCGTGTTCGGTAGAACCCTCGGTTGGGAGTCAGGAAAGAAGCTCGAGGCAAGGTGGAATGGGTAGATTTAGATTTAGATTTAGATAATTTTTATTAAAGACCCGTCGTGGTCCCATCAAAGCAAGTTAAAATAAATTTGTATGCGAGTTTTAGATGAGGTAGGCCGAATCTTTACAAAATGCAATTCATAGTTTCTGAATTAGAAGTCCATTGAGAAACATGATGATTGAGGGGTGAAAAAAAAACTACTTACAAAAAGTTAAAAAGGATTGGATTGATTTTACAGGAAAAAAAACCCTTCATAAAAATAATAACAGATAAAAACGAGCAGGACTGGCCTGTAGGTGGCGGTATATAACGGAATGTTGTCGGTCATCATCAGGGTAGCAATAAATGTCAGCCTTGATGGATACTAATGTGGGTCAGACAGGACTGGCTTGCAAATGGTATTGTATACGGGATTCACAATTGAGATCGTCTGGGCCGGATTGGTACGCCGCGTCAAAGAGGCCAGACGAGAGGAACCGAGATGCGATCGGCCACAGCACTCTTCGAGCTCAGCCGAGCAGTGAGAAAGGGAGGTACGACCGAACTACTAGTAGACAATGAATACTGAGGGTTCCGCCGTGAGCGTCGACAGACCGCATGAGGTCGAAATGCGGGAGATGACATCAAAAACCACAAAATTGTCGCTATGGGGGGGGAGTGATAGCAGTGGATTTAGAAACCAATTCAAAACAGGGGTTTCTAATGATATAATTAAGAGTTACCACTTTATCAACCACTAAATCCCAGGAGGACCCTTCTCGAAGTCAAGAATCTGAGTGTTCGGGAATGGGACCGTTAACAGTGCCTTTATGCTTTCCGGTGTAAGATGGTTGCGTAATTTCGACTTGAATACCAGTAACTTAGGCGATAATCTAATTTCAGGCGGAAGATTATTCCAAAGGAAGGCATATTTGGAAACAAAGAAGAGGGAGCGCTTAGATGTAGTACAAAGAGGCGGCGGAATCACCATGCAGGAGTTGCGCTGGCATAAAACCGATCTCTCGGAGTGAGAGTGTCAATGTGGGGAAGACTGGAGCTAGAGTTGATGCGAAAAAGGAAGCAAAGGCCAGCTTCGAGTCTTCTAACCCACAAAAACTTCATGTTCGCCAGCTGACATCTCTGAGTATAAGAAATACTGGACGAAGCTTGAGAGAACAGTTTCCGGGTGAAAACCCTCTGAACATTTTCGATTTTATTACGGTCGCAGGCGTTCATTAAACCGAAGAAAGGACAGCAATATTCGAGGACTGGAAGAACAAACATTTGATAAAGTCTTAGCTTCATTTCCGGAAGGAAAAAATTATGCGATATGAATCCACATATCTGCGCGGCTTTGGCAGAGATTCTATCTGCATGAGGTGATAAAGCAAGCTTATTTGTATAACTTAGACCTAGGTCCTTTATGGTGAGGCATTCTGAGAGTGGGTTATTCTGAAAAATTATGGAACCAGGAAGTTTGGCAGGACCAAAAGACATGAAACTACACTTGGATGATGAAAACTCCATCTGCCATGTCGAACCCCATCTGCTTAAGCGTAGTATATCGGCATTAATTTTTTCAACACAAACATTTGCGGTGTCCTTAGAATATGAGTAAACACACTTGAGGTCATCGGCATAAGTAAAAGTTTGCGAATTTCCCAGTTCAGTCGAAATATCATTGATGTACAGAAGGAAGGGTAGCGGACCGAGGACCGTGCCTTGAAGTACGCCACTCGTGATCGAGTGGGGTGCCGAGTAGCTATTACCGACCATGACTTTCTGATATCGGTTGGACAGATAGGACCTGATGAAGTCGAGTAGAGGCGGCCGGATGCCGAGAGCTTCCAATTTTACTAAAAGACGTCTATGGGGCACCTTGTCAAAGGCTTTTCTAAGATCAAAGTAAATAACTACCACTGACTGCCGCTCATTACGAAGAGAAGTGATAAGATTAAGAAAAGCCAAGTGGCATGTTTCGCAGGATCGTTCAGGTAAAAATCCATGCTGACTAGAGCTCAGAAGCCGATTAGCTAGACAGAAGTCAAGAATTTCACTGAATATAACCCTTTCAAGAAGTTTTGCCAGAGACGGCGTTTTGTGCACGCCCCGATAGTTATTAACATCGGACCGAGATCCTGACTTGAAAACGGGAATGATAATTGACGTTTTCCATGTTTCAGGAAAGAATCCTTTTGAAATATAAACCGAGAATAAATGACTGAGCAATATGGGAAGGTCGGACGCTTGTTTAATAATCGAATTCGGAATCTCGTCCGTTCCAGAGCAGTGTGAGTATTTCAAACGGCTTATGTGTTTCTTAATGAGATCTGAGGAGACATCAATTGTACTAAGTGTCCAATCTGAAAGTGATCGAAAGGAAGGGACCGGATCGGACTCGGTAGCAAGGTGTTTTGCAAAGAAAGCACTAAACAACTCCGCCTTGTCAGTGTCATCGGTGAGGAAGACTTTGTTATCATTTAGCATGGGTGGAAGTTCATGACCACGCTTAGAGGAGGACCGATGACGGAAGATGTTAGCGACAGATTTGCCAGGGTTCGAACTACTGAGAGCAATTGATTCTCTTTGCCTGTCGCGCGCTTGGTGCATCCTTGAGGCCATCTCAAATATCTCTGTGATTCTAAGATGAACTGGTAAGGAACTAGTGGATGGGTCACGCAGTTGTCGCCTCAACTTTTTTAGTCTGTTCTGAAGAAAATGAGGAACAAGGGAATCTGAAGAATTAGGCTTGAGATATCTACGCGGCACAAACTCTAGAATGTCCTTGGAAACATTGGACATGACATCACGAAGAATGGTTACATTGCTACAAGTGAGGAAGCCACACCAATCCAAGGATCTCATATAGTTATTAATTAAGTCGCTATCTACGCAGTCGTAGTTCATGAAAGTCTGAACGGCGCTTGTCTTTTTTGAAAAGGCAAGCGGTAGGCAACAATGAATTAGTACGTGGTCACTGTCAAAGAGGTCCTTTTTTAAAGCGACAGAAAGAGGAGCAATGTCATTGGTAAAGATTAGATCTAAAATGTGATTATCTCTTGTTGGAGAGCGCACCAGTTGGAACCAATTAGAAAAATTGACAATATCTTGAAAGGGCTGGAATCTGGGTGGGCAGCTATTGGAAACCCAGTCAATTTTAGGAAGGTTAAAATCCCCAGTGATTATTTTAACATCGAAAGCAGCTTCCGAAATTAATTTAAAGATTTCACAAAGTTGTGAATCATCACTGGCTAAAGAATTTGGGGGATTGTAGATACAGCCAATAATTGCCTTTCTTTGCGGCGAGAGAATAACAGATGCAAAGCAGAAGTTTCCCGTGAACGAGGAAACATCCAAGTAATAAGGAGAGTGCTTTAGGTAGGATTTAAGATAAAGAAGACAACCACCCCCACGCCTAGTCGTGCGGTCTTGGCGGTAAAAATCGAAGTCATCTATGAGAAGGGCAGAGTCAGGAATTAGAGAATGTGTCCAAGATTCTGTTACACATATAATATCAGGCGTCATTTCCAGAGCAATGGCTCTGATTTGGGCCATCTTGTTTATAACAGACCTGGCATTCAATAATATAATATCTAATGTGTTTCGAACGACAATGCTATTTTCGACGGGTAAGCAACACAACATGAATATAAAACCCCAGAGGACACCGGTGGACCTCCTGAGACCTTCAGCTGACAGGGCCGCCGGAAACAGAACAAATGAACCCCTCCATCGTCAGCACTGCGTAGTCGTCCAGGGCCTATCGTAGTCGAATGCGCTTACCCCGAAGGAGAGGATTTCCGCCGACCTCGATATGCTTCAACTCTTGCTGAACAACATGCTTTATTCGAATGAAGAAGTAACCATTCGCGCAGTCATCAGGATCTGAACGAAGGTGAGTGAACAATCGGAAACTGTGCAACCACGACCCCTGAAAATTATTTTCGGTAGTAAAGGGGAGGCTGGCTTACTTCTGTCCAGGAAAAGCAGCCTCCGAAACTCTTACAAGGAAGTTTTTTCGGCCGGACTATTTTCCAGTGGAACGTCTGAAACGCCGCGAATTAGTGACGGAGCTGAAGAGGAGACTTGCAGCAGGAGAGAACAGTTTCGCTATTTTCAGGGGACCAGTGATACAGAGGAATGCGATGTTGCTTTGGAATCAGCCAGTCATCATGATGGCGGCAACAACACAATATTGACAAGCCCGAGACAAATCAAACGAAGTACTGTCC